AATGAGATACAGCCTCTTCCTGAGACTGAGACACAATAATTGAAAGTGAAAATGGTAAAAGACGTTAGAAGATTTTTTTTTTTTTTTTACCAAAATCATACTGCACAAGAGAGAAAAAGAAAAGTACGTCTTTAGAAACTCCAGGTGTAAGAGAGAGAGAGAGAATAAAAAAAGGATGAAAAAATATTTTAAAAAGCCAAGTCACAACTATTGTTGCTGGGGGCCTGTCTATAAAAGGTAATCAGGAAATATTACTGGAGAGATCCTCTCATTAATAGAAAAGAAAATCTCAATGAACATGAAAACTGAATTCAGCAAGTAGCACAAATATATTTTCTAAGGTGTTATTCTCCCCTTCTCTGAAAAAACTAAATGGATGCTACTGTGTGTTCTTTCTTAAAAGAAAATACATTTGGGACCAGCAGGTGGTGTGGTGGTTAAGGTGCTAGACACTCCCACATGACCGACCACGGTTTGAGTCTTGGACCAGGTGACTTGCTTTCTTGAGTCTTCTCTCTCTCTTTCTGATCCTCTCTGGTCAAATTAAAATAAATGAATTAATCAATAAAATTAAATAAATAATTCTTTAAAAACCAACAAATGTAAAGGAATACATTCAATGTTTTACGAAGACCCTAACAACAATCATAAATTTGAAATTGAACTCAACAAGACTCTTTCCAAAAATAAAGCAGAATCAGTCCAGAGGCATTAGTAACTTGTTTTCAGTCATTTAGCAAAAGAACTTTAGTTCAATAACCAGACCAGAGCCCTTTCTACTCTACTATGTGACTTTGAAATCAGGAGAGTTGGGTAAGAATTGCTCTCTCTGGTTTTTTTGTTCGTTTGTTTTGTTTTGTTTTTTAAGAATTACTTTAACTTTCTTTCTTTCTTTATTTATTTTAATATGACCAGAGAGTGACAGAACAAGAGAGAGAGAGAGAGAAAGTAAGAAAGCAAGCCACCAGGTCTGGGACTCGAACCATGGTCAGTCATGTGGGAGTTCCAGGTCCTTAACTACCATGCTACCTGCCAGTCCCAAGAATTGATCTCTTGCCTAAGTAGACAAGGAGAGGGGAAATGCCACATGAAACAGCTATTTATCATTCTTAATACATGGTGACAGACCCAACCAGTCAAGGCCTCTCATCCTTACACGTCCTACAGAGGACCTGACACATGTTGTGCACTCAATACACGTTAAGCCCGTCAATCGCTTCAAAGTATAACAAGACCTTAAGCATGTTTCCTAAGTCTCCAGCACCAATGAATTTGTAGTTTTATAAATATCACGGTGAACAAGAAATGCTGTCTTGTCACATTCAAGCCAAATAACAGCTGGACTTTAAAAATAAAATTTTGAAGGCATTTGCCTTTTATATTTTTAATTTCTGTTTTTCTTGCTCATGGTTTTGTCATTTGATTTTGATGAGTGGTTAATACACATGCACAGCTGCCTCTTTTGGTGACCTTTTCCTCACTGCCTCCATGCCCAGGGCTATGAAGCAGGTCTACAAGTTGCTTACTAAGGGATATTGGCATTTTCATGGCTGGTAGATATTTTCTTGGGAAGCCTGGCTAACACTGGGCCTCAAGCATCTTCTGGGCTGACTGACTTGAGTCATTTCAGAATCCCAACGGGACGGTGGGGTGGAAGTGGAGGGTGGGCAGAGCCCTGTAGGGTTTGCCATTCCAAAGCCGGAGGAAGGCTGGAGATGATCATATGAGAACTGAGGGAGAAGTTCTGCTGGGCTAGGACACAGGACTCTCCTACCAACTAGCCTCTTCCCTAAGAAGTTCTCAGCTCAATTTTCTGCAGAGCCCAACGTTCTGGTCTTCTTAGTCTTCCCTCAATGATAATTAATACGTATGTACATATGTATGCATGTCCCTTTTAATTCTGTCTTCTCTCACTACACGATTAGCTCCAAGGGGTTAGTGATATCTCTGTTTCGCTTCCCAGCACCAATGGGCTTACCCAGGTCTAGTTTCAGGCCGGCACACTGTAGGGACTCAAACGTGTGTTTTTTATTTTTAATTTTTTCTGTTTGTTTTACAACAGATTGACTGAAGAAACAATTAATTCTTTTTTTTTAGTTTTTCTGATACTTTAGTCCCTTCTTAATCTTCCTGTTAGAAAAAAAAAAAAAAAAAAACGAGGGGAGAAAGCATTATGTGTACCTGTTATCTACTCTGACTTTAATATGAACTGTAACTCCAGCAGGCTTTGCAATCAGCTCACACTTGAACAGATGCCAGGAAATACCCTGAAGTCAGCAGAAGGCTGCTACCCATCCCTGCAGTCCTCACAAAGTCATCACGCTGCTGTCGGCATTAGAGCAGGTAATTTGACTCCATTCATGAACTCACAATCCCCCAAAAGCACATGAGGTCTCAATGGCAACTCTGGGCGAGCTTCTGAAGGGAGGTTTTCACACGCTCCTTAAGCTCCTGGGCCACTACAGCCTGTCTACTGTTACGCTCATCAGGCACCTCGCTATGTGTGACAGAGTAACCTGAGCGCGGAGGACGGCATGACTTGCTATATTTAGGGGAGAGGAAATGGGCCATACTGAGGAAGGTCACAAGGAGTTTCTTCAAAAAAGCAAAGGCTTTTATCTGTATGTGAAGGGGGGCAGTACTGCAGGCTGCCCGACATCAAATCTCAGCTGGGTCTTTACTAGCTACACGGTTTACAGCACGTTACTCAGTTACTCTGACCCTCAATTTTCTCACCTGTAAAGATGATAAAATAATACCTTTCTTACAGAGTACTTAAAGATTAAATGAGAAAAAAAAAAAACATGTAAAAAACTTAACACATTGTCTGGCATATAAGTGATTGAAAAATACTTCCCCCCCCAAAAAAAAGAAAGTCTGAAGAAACAAAATTGCCCTAAATCTAGACAATCTGGGTATTGACTGAGATTTCCAAAGATATTTCTAGATGTTTCTCTATAGTTAAGTTTAAAAATTTTCCCATTTATACTGGTTAATAATTAACCATAATTTTTAACTCCTAAACATATGATATTACCAACTAGATTATCGGTATTACTGAGAGGCAATTGATATTTACACCCATATAGTTAAGAAACCAAATGAAAGAGGGTGAAAGGCAGATTAAGAAAAGTCTACTACAGTGAGGCTAAGGTGATAGAACTCAGTTCATTCCTTGTCTAAGGCCAAAGTTAGGAAAAGTATTTATTTCTCAAATGAAATGATCATGATATAGGTACTCCAAAGTACAGTCTTCCAACAACATTGAGATGGGCCAGACCCAAAACGATTCCACCCAGACTTTGAACTCGCCATGATCTCAGTGTTGCCTGCAGATGACGCAAGGCCACTGTTTGGATGCTGTGGCCCCCCCCAGACAGAGGACCCACAATTCTCACTCACAAGCAACCTGTACATCTAAGTACCCATGCAGATGCCAATAGGCTTTCTGTACACAGTCTTCAAGGAAGACAGCAAGTCTATTTCAGGTTCGAGTCCTCTTTATCCCTCCCTTCCTACCCCTCATCCTCTCCCTTTTTCTCTTGTCTTCTCTTTCCCACTCCTTCTCCCCTCTTTTCACTCCCCCCCCCCCCACACACACACGCATACCAATTAGAATTTATTTTAACACCTTGTCCCCAGGACTATCATCAAGCATTAGGCTCTCCCACTGGTATGAAAAATCTGCCTTCTGGAAACTCTGAAGTGCTTCCTAATGTCTGATGCTACCCATGTCTTAGTGCTCATGCCAGGGATTTCTGAACTGCCTGGGATGGCCCCAAGCTATCACTCATAGCCATGCCCAGTTCAGATGCTGTTATGAAATGTCTTCGTGTTTTCAAGGGATTAGGGTCGTGGAAGAAATCCTGCCAGTAAAAGGGATACTAGGAAGATTCTCTCCCTCAAGCTAAAGAAGGACTTTAGCTGAGACCCATGATGGGTGAAGCATCATGTTACTCTGAAGAGAACAAATTAATCTTCTGTGACTGGTGGGACTGATTCTGCCAAAGGAGCAGCTAACGGGAAAACCAGTCCCTACTCTGGGATGACACAGTAAATAATCAGGCACCATTACTACCCAAGTGCTGACCTAGCTCATAAATTGTAGCCAGCCTCTGGGGAGCAATTTCTGCTGACGTGCTGCTTGTGCATTTAAAACAAACAAACAAAAAAGGGAAGAGAAGCGGACGGACATTGATAGTGCCACGGGTAAACATTCTGGGAGGAAGGCTGGTCTTTCCACCCAGACTTTTAACAGCTAGTCATGATTAGTGCCCAGACACAAGGTGGGCCTTCCCTAAGCAAATATTAAGTTTCTGCTAAATCTGCTACAAACCATCATTGGTGCCCCAAAAGGTTTGATTGTACCCGGGAGTCACTTGATTTGGAGTTTTTCAAAAAGTCCTCCTTTGTTTATTTTTTTTTTTTAAGAGAGATTTTTGCTATAGGGCTTGTGCGCTCACTAGAGAGACAGAGAGACAGAAAGTGAGACATCACCCCCTGGGGGAGATGGCCACGCTGCAACCCCTTCTCCTCCATTCTCCTCTCAGAATCTTGAGCACACATGCACACATGCCTGATGTGAGTTTTAAGCTGCCTGGTCTGGGACTCGAACTATGGTCAACTAAGTGGGAGTCCAGTGATGTAACCATTATGCCATCTGCTGGTCCCTGCATTTTCTTTAAAAAAAAAAAAAACAGCAAATTAGGCAGATGAAACACAGAATTCTGTTACTTATTAGAATGTAGAGTCCTTTTATTTGAAAACTTTAAAGTGGCACCTTGAAGTACTTCGATTGCAATGTATTCAGTAACATAGACTCCACCTGCTTCTCAAAGTCCTCAAGTATAATTTAGAATAAAGACTAACATTTCCTCTGCTTTGCCTAGAAAATCTAGCTGGTGACTCCCAAGCAAGACCATAAAAGTCCTGCATTTAACTCAGACGCATCTTCAGAGACACATGGAGTAGCAGAAAGGAGCCAGGGAAGAGCTACTCACCCTCTGCGTCTTCCGGCCGGGTAAGGTCGATGACACCGGGGCCCAGCTTTCCATCTTCACTTGACTTTCCTGTTAACTGGGGCCCCAAATTCTCAAAGCGTGTTCTTTCCTAGAGGAAAGAATAATCAGAGGCTTAATTTGCTTCCAAGGCAGCCACTTTCTCCCCCAGTTTCTATCTTGCTTAATGGGCAAAACTTGGATTTATAGACATCATTTCTGACCAACTTAGGCTCTGAAAATCTTTCAGGAAGACTCTACTTAAAGCTATGGGACACTGAGAGCATCTAGACCACGGTACCTGTGAGGAAAGGGAACCTATGCTGTGGAACCTACCAGAACCACTCTACATTTCTATGACATTTGCTCCAGTAATCTAAAAGTAATGCAACAGAAAGGGGTGAGCCCGAAGTGCGAAATCTAGAAAAAGCGGTTCCTATTAAAATAGAGTGCTCAATTGAATGAGAGAGGGGTTTCCACATTTGAAGATCACAGTTTGCATTCGTATTCCTGGGGAAACCCAAATCAGAATGTTAGGCACAAGGCTTTCAAAAACAAACATTTCAAAGCAGACAGATCAGTTGATGGCACTGATACTATTTCTTGGCCCAGGAGGTTCGACTGTGATTTCCTGGGCGCTGAAAAGGGGGCATCCCTCCTAGCCAGCCAACAAGCCAGGAAAGTTAAATACCCTTGTCACGGTAGGAGGGAAGCCCCAGGATGTTTTGCTGTTCTTCTAGGAGCCCGAGTCCCAAGCATTACAGAACGCGCTCCCTCTGCAGCTCCCTGGATCAGTAGCAGAGGGCTCAATGACCATCATTAACATGGTGTTCTTGTCTGCAGAAACACAGCGTGTGTCCCCCTCTCGCCTCCCTACTCCTTTCCAGACTCAAAGTTGGCTTTGTCTTGTGCTTATGAATGAATGAAACCTTGTTGTTCATTACTATGAAACAATATTAAATGTCATGTCAGCTTGAATTTACAGACATGAAATAGCAGCTTCCAGCTCCGGGAATGGTTTCTGCATGTTATACTTAATGCATTATGCAGCAGTAGAGTGCTGACTGCTGTTCAGTCTATTGTTCAATGACCTAGTTCTGTACTGAGCATGTTCGGCATTAGATAGAAACACTTGGAGTGTTCTCTTCTGGAAGATGTTTAGAAACTTGGAAATATTCTTAAAGAGCAAACATACAATTACTTGATAGAGGCTGTGCCTCTTTTGTACACCCTCACTACTTTTGTGCTTTCTAATATGATTATTTTTGAATATCATTATATTTCTATAATTAATTCCCATCAGTCAAATTGTGCAGGAAGTCTTCCAGTTCCCCTTCATCATGGAGTATGTTGAAATCTGTGTTGGAAGAAAATACAGCATAAACCTTGCTTTAATCTAGCACGTTTCTATGAAAGATCTGCAACAAAAATCATACTCATGAATTTCCCCAACTGGATAATACTAACTAGTTTCAATAGCACTGTGCGGGAAAACCTCAGAAACATGACACTTATGAAAAACAGAATGAAATAAAAACCAAATCAAGTATGGTTCCCTAATATCTTCTTATGTGAAAACACGGCTGCACAGAACAAATTAACCCAGATGCAGGACACAACAAAAAGCAACCGCAAGCCATGTGGGAGTTTCGCACATTGTCGGGGGAAGGACAGCTGCTTTTAATCAGCCAATTTCTATTTTTGAGTAGCACTTTTGGTTGTCATGATGTAAAGAAAAAGAATTAAAGTGAAGATGAGTAGTACCAGGGAAAGCAAAATATTCAACCTTTGTTTTAGCACATTGTTTCACATTTCAAATATTTGCATGTGAATGCTTTTCCTATGTTAAATGCAAAAGGAGTTTTGATGTGACACCTGCAATCTTCTTGGAAGAACAACCTTTAACTGTATTTTCATGGGGGGAAAAACAACTTTCTCTGAAAATCAACAGACCGTGCTACCTATCAATATGCATATTTCAAGTATCTTTCTAGTCATTCATTCTCTTTGATTTCACCGGAAAATATTCTCGGTAAAAATAAATAAATAAATAAAGTTCCTGAAAGAATATCAATATTTTGACAAGGAAGGAGAAGAGGGAAAATTACATGCCATGGTTTGTAAAACCTAAGACAACAAAGCTTACATGATGATAATATCTTTTCTTTTATAAAAAATGAAGAGCACTCACAATTCAGTAGTATCAGCTTGTTTTTAATCATAACAAAAAACATTCAGAACATTCAACAACACATTCACGGTGTCTTTGAAGTCATACATTTTTCTGACTTCATTGAAAAAAAAAATTCTTCTGCAGAGATACTTTCCCTAAAAAATATCAATATTTTGACAGAGTAGAAGTCAAGGAAGAATATCCCATGAAACACTAGCTAAATAGGCAAGAAATAAATCAATGACAAGAAATTGTTTTGTGCAGAGGGTTGCATTTTAGATTTGGTAATATTAAGCACTTGTGTTTGAGATTAAAGAAGGACCCTACAAAGCCAGCGCCCTTTCATATAAATTCCCACCTAGTCTCCCAGAAGATTTCCTTCTTTTCTTCAAAGAATAGCTCAGAATATTTATTTGCCAGCCACATAACCATAAGATAAGAGGCCGTGATGTCTACCAGTTAGGTCTGGGCAGCTGAGCTAAGCAAAGATTTTACCAGTGAGGTTGAACATGAGCCTCGTAAATATAGGATGTGGACATGGGCGCAGAGAGAAGTACAAAGATACTTTAGTTCCAAGAAGTTTAAACTGCAGGCCACTGAGTGCCAAGGCCCATATTCCCCTATATGGAACAAATGCAGACTGTGGGTGGCAAGTTCTTAAGCCCAGATTTCCCCACGTGCTTCAACTCGTCTTACAAGGTACGTAGCTCCCAAGTAAGATACTTGGGAGATACAAGCAAAATACCTCCATAGTAATTTAATCCCAACTCTCCCCAGGAAAATTCGCCCATCTTCACACTGACAGGGATACGTGCATTTTACATGCAGCAACGGGATCAGACACTTACTTATGCATTGTCAGTCACAAACATACAGGCAACATAAAAGTTATTGGAAAAATTAAAGTCAGCTCTGCAGTGTTGTAGGACTGTTGGCTCTCTAAGTGCTTTGAAATTATGATGTATGAGGTAGATGTTGCATATTAAATAAAGATATTTAAATGATAAAGCCCCCTTTAGTGAGAGCTGATGAATGTTAAATGTTACAAGCCACAAGACGGTAGATCCATCATCTTCACGTATTATCGGAGTCAATGATGGGGCAGCCTCACTGATGACAGATAGACTGCTGCCTTATTATCCCTTTTTCCAGAGTCACTGAACAAACCATTCGACTCCTCAGGCATTATTTTTAACTTTGCATTAAATTAGCAACTTTTCCCTCCCTCCCATGGCAAGATGGATCAATTCTGTCTTTGCATCAGTGGAGAGAGAGAGAGAGAATGGATTTGGAGTAACTGAAAGAACAGAGGTTTGTTTTCATCTTGGAAAAAAAAAACAACTTCCTCTTACTGGCAACAAATGTAAAATTGTGATCTGGGGAAAGAACAGCAATGAAACAGTAAGCACACAATAATGGCTTTTCTTTGCACTTAGATAAAAGCTGAATTTTTGATGTGCACAGTATATTTTAATAAAATTTTATATACTATGTTTTATACACTTATTGGCTATTCCATAATAATGTGTGTGCTAACAGTAAAATTGCTCTTAAATTTATGTGTGTTATTTATACGTTCCCACGTAACAATGCTTTTTGTTGTAAAAAATATTCTGTTTATTAATGTAACTTTACAACCACTGCATCCAAGATCCGTGGTAAATTAATGACATTTTTATTATTTTATAGTGTCATTAAATTTTTACTGATCACTCCATCAAACAGAGGCAGTAAAGGCCATAATATAAACTGGGACACTTAGATCAGGCAGCAGGAAGACATTCCATATAGTCTGAAGAAAACTGCTGGCAATAAATGATATTTATGCCATCTTTAAGCATGTGAGAATACTTGGATAAGTTTGGCAAAACTGTTTCAGTAGTAGAGTGGATTGTGTACTTAAATAACAGTTTGCTTGCCAGTGAGACAAGCCTCTCTCAAACCATATGCGAGATGACTGATCGCAGCCATCTCCTGAAAAACAGCACGTGAAACGGAGCGACGTGCAGGGAACCCTGCCTTCTGGGGTGCCGAGACTGACCCGCCTGTTCCCTGCCTCAGATCATTTCAGCATGGTCTCCTTTTCTAGGAACAGAAGGGGAAGACGACACAGGCTAGGAGAGGCTTTTTGTTTGTTGCTTTACAGACAAATACATTTCACTGAAGAAGGCATGTCTGGACAACGATGCGATGTATTTTATTCCAACAGTCTAAAAGGAGAGTACCTTTATCAACCTCTATTCAGAAGCTCATTTCTAAAGGTAGTCTGAATACAGGGTCATTCATAGCGGTCACAGAACAGAGAACTAAGGGCCATTACCTATTTCGTAGCTCAAGTGGGTTAAAAAAAAAGTTATCTCATGTTATTTTCATATATAAAAATGCATTATAACTAGGATCCTCTACACTGAACTCTTAAATAAATCTGAATATGTGTTATTAACTAATTGCCCTATTTATATACATAGACTGTAGTAAATAGAAAATTTTATGCTCATACAATCGCCGATTTTAAAGCAAATCTCCTACATAGAGATTCTGACATGATTCTTTTTTCGAGTAAAAATAATTTTGTGGTTACGTCCTAAAATACGTATTTAAATATTAAAGACGTCTAAAAAAATCTTTCAAATTTGCGATGATGAGGAATTTCTCAGGGAAGGTGAATACTATAGCCCAACCAGTCACATTTTTTGTGCATTCCTCAAGAAGAGTTTTCTAAGAGAAATAACAGATATGTGTATTATTAATAGAAATTCTGCAAGCCCACCACAAGATTCTGAGATATTGTCTATCCTCAAAGTTTCAGCTACATCGAAGTGGTTGGGTGCTAGCCAAAGGATGTCTTGTCATTTCCATGCCAGCTCCAAGCTTCAGTTTTACTGGACATTTGATTTCCACTTGCATACTGTAGAGTATCTCCTAAACTAAAAGTAAAG